ATCAGTGAAGTGCTGGCGTCCAGGAAGAAGCCGCAGTTCACGGCCAAACAAGGGAGTTCACGGTCTCCTAAGATCGTGAATTGGAGCCACAAACCGTGAACATCGAATAGTCCAGCGAGGTTTCAGAGGTTACTGACGCTAGGCGAGTTTATGGTCGCTAAGACCGTGAACTGGGTCTATTAACCATGAACCCAAGAGAGTGAAGCGGTGTGTTTGGAAAACAATGAGTTCACGGACGCTTTTAGGTGTTCATGACTGTGAACTGGCCAACGCGGGCGTGAACTGGTCGCTTTCGGGCAAATATGAAGACAGCAGCAGGGAGAGAGAAGGGGAGCTTCATTTTAGGTTAGGTTTTCAATTTTCAGAATAAAGAGGATTCTAGTGAGAGGTTAGGGTTTCTTCAAGAGTGAGAAAGTGTCTTCTTTAGCAATCTAATTGGCCATTCTAACCTAGATTAGAGGGAAAACCCCCTTTCAAGGGAGGCTCAATTGAGTTGGGATTCCTAGGGGCTTTTTAAGCCACCGATCTAGGTTAATGTAGGGCCAACCTCTATGTTGAATTAAGCAATTTGGTTAAGCGCGATTAAGCCGACCAACCATTGGGTTGAGTGAGAGTAAGTCAAGTCAACCATCGATTGCCTTAACTGAGAGGGCCACTTGAGTAGCCTATAATGAATCCCTTCGTTTGGCAATCAAGAGTGTGGTCTACGATCAAAGCTGCGTTTCTTAGCGGTTCGCAGTCACCTTGCCCATAGCAATCACTTCAATTCACATACCATGGTAGTAGTTAGGGGGAAGCGACACCCGAGTGATCCTTCTCACATAGAGCTTTCAAAACCATTTACTTTCTTTGCTTGTTTTCATTTGTAGTTTTATGATTTTAAACCCAAAACCGTTTTGCTAGATAACAACTTAAGCGATTGAAGTAGGGGTACATGGACCGGCCCGGGTTGACAATTTAAATACTTGCCCTATACTGCACCCGTCTAGATTTTAAAAACTTGGGCTCTAGTTGGGATTAATTTGTGGTGTAGTTTCGTGCGAGTCAAATTTTTGGCGCCGTTGCCGGGGAACCGCGGTCCATCATTTTGAAAAGGTCGTTTAGTGTTACTCTAGCATTTTTTGTTTTGTCTTGTCTTGTGTTTTGCTTTTGTGTTTTATCTTTGTGTGATGCAGAGTTGAGCCATGGATCTCGATAGCTTCTCCTACCCGTGGGGGTATCCACCAACACCCGAATGGTGTTACCCCGAGCCGACATGGGGCTATTAAGAAGGATATGAGTACAGATCTATTGTCTACTACCAACTACCTTTCCATGACGAGCAACCATATCCCCCGGATGTTCAAGAGTTCTATCCATACCATGAAGGTTACCTTCCACAACCACAAGGGAAGAGCCAATTGGAGCTATTGGTGGAGAAGTTCGTATCGGACAATGAGAGATCATATTCTGGACCGACCTTTCCAACCATGGATCCACCTCACTCGGATTTCCTCTATGAAGCGGGGGAAACACGCAAGTGTGTAGAGAAGCTAAACTCGATGGTCGAGGAAGCTTGTGCACGGTTCACCCAAGATCGACTCTTGACGGTTGGTGAAGAAAAGGAAGATGAATAGGAAAGTCTCGAGGATGAGTTGGAACGGTCGGAAGTTGTCACGGATGGCCACCGTGATGCTCAAGACTTGGAATGTCCTCTTGAGGTAGCCACCACTCTTCCACATTTCATCCCAAGCGTTGAAGAGGAAGTTCTCAATGAGGAGATGAGTGCTGATTCAATCGAAGACATAGCTTGGAGACTCGCTATTCAACGCTTGCTTGCGGAAGAGCGAGGAAAGACGAGGAAAGAAGAGGAAAGAAGGAGTAGTGGAGGAGGTAGTAGAAAAAGAAGAGGAATTTCTTGAGGATCCCCAAGAGGAGGAAATCGAAGAAAAAGGAAGGGAGTTTAAGGAAGAAGAAGAAAGAGCAAATGGGGGCCAAGATGAGGACGAGGTCGAGGTGATGAAGCATCCACAAGTTACAAGAGCTACCAATGCTTTCCACCCGACCTCGATGCACTTTTGGAGAAGGACACGTTTGCGGCTCTTTGCCAAGTCAAGGCCAAACCATCAGCGATCCCTCTTGGTGGATGCGATGGAAGTCGATCGAGGTTGCACAATATGGTGTGGGGCAAAGAGAAAAGTGAAGAAAGTAAGTAGAAGAGGTCTCGTGAGTCGAGCCTCAAAGCTGATCAAGTTCACGATCCCTTAATCATGGATTCGTCCAATGCTCATGACTTGAGATTTCATCTCACCGATGAGAACCTCAATGAAAGAGCACGGATCTAGGTGTGCGATTGAAGAACGTGATTGGTATGTGAATTAGGGATTTGGGATGAGGTAGAATTTGGGAATTAGGGTTGAGAGAAGAGGATTCCGGTCACCGGGATGGTGGCCGACGAGTTGGAGAGGGAAGAGGGAATTCGGCTATGATAGAGAGAGAGAGAGAGAGCTTAGGGAATAATTCTGTTGTTATTGCTTAACCCTAGCCTATGCCTAACAAAGAATATATATAAACCGACTAATTCCCTATAACTACCCAAGACTTAACCTAACCGATTTAACCCCAATAGTTCCCAAAATAGCCGACATAATATAAAACGTCAAATAACAAATAAACCCCAAATTACTAATTGTCTGACATTCCATCCCCCTTGAAACCCACCTTGTCCTCAAGGTGGACCTTCTTTCTTCTCTTCCTTCTTCTCTTCCGCTTCTCGTGCCTCCATTTCCTCCCCTTCATCTTCCCAGTTCCCCACCAGCAGCATGAGATGACCCTTGGCGCATTGATGCCCCACCGTATACCTTTCGTCGCAGTTAAAGCAACGACCATCTCTGCGCTTCTGGTCCATTTCCGCCTGCGTCAGCCGGACAAACCCCTTTGGTGGCAGCCTTGACTGGAATCTGCTCGCTGCTGTTGTGCCGGTGGCCGCCGAGCTTGCATTTCCCGACGGCGTCGAGGTACCAGCTCCTGCTCCCACTCCTCCACTGGCCTTCTGGATACGCCCAGCCGACGTCCTCCAACTAGCCAGCTCCTCTTCCTTGCGCCCTGCAATCCTGAAAGCAACTCGAAGAGAGTAAGGTTCGAAAACCTTAACTGCGGCTGCCAGCTCCGGGCAGAGTCCCGCCATACACAGTCCCACCAGGGTCTCCTCCGTCATTTCCTTGCACTGGTTTCCCAGTTTAAGGAACTCCGCGCGATACTCGGCCACCGACCCTGATACGACCCTGAATTCACTCCTCACCAAGCTGGAATTTCTTGTTCGAGAAGGTAACCCAAATTGTTTTAACAATATGGAATTTTGTCTAAGTCTTTTGACGAGTTCAGGAAAGGTACTTTGCGAGCTCGGTTCGTCTCATTGGAGCGTTGGAATGGAGAGTTTGGGAGTGAGTTTTGAACTTCAAGTGCTCGTCTATATGCTGGAGTGCTTGGTAGTTCAAGGGGAAACTTGGTAAGTTCATTTTCAGGCTCGACAAAAAGGGATCTCGACACAGGAAAACAGGCTGAATCTGCCTAAGTGTAAAATCGAGTCCATAGAGGCTACTTTGACGTGCTATTCCAGACGGGTGATTGAGCTTCGAGTTGGGGGCTTCATACCCCATAAATCTATGTACTTTAATCTACAAAGAAGAGGCGTTGGATGATTGAAAGTGCTCCTGGAAGTCATCAGTCGAAGGCCTCAAAGGTTGCATCCAGGCTGTTGGTGACGTGGAGCTGCAGAAAAGAGTTTTCTTTCCTTAAGTGTCTCGGATTGCTATTTCCTTTTGTGTTTCAGTTTAGGTTTTCGAGTTGTAATAGGTTTATGACGATTTCCCTTGTTCACAAGGTTAGCTAGGTTCTATTTAAGCTTTAGTTTGTGCTGTAATTGAACACACGTTTATGAAATCACCTTTGTGTTCATCGAGTCATTCTCGTGAATTGTCCTTGGTTGTGTGGAATTGATTCCACCGAACAAGCGAGCTCAACATCGGTCGATCATCACCTCGATCGTGGACGAGTTGCGACATTAGTTCGATCGAGCCTCTTCCCAGTTTCTTGGCGAGAAGTTGCACGTTCGACATCCATCTTACCTCAACCCCTGTTTTGGCGTCCATCGGAATTCTGTTATTGAGAAGTCTCTAGGCTGCCTGACTCTGATCAAAAGCTCGAGGGTTGGAGCTCATCAAGTGGTAATCAGAGCCCAGGTTCTACTCAGCGGCGTTCACAACGTCGTCAATAGAAGGCGGCGCTGGTACGACAAGGTGGACCAGGTCGAAGGGTCCAGTAGATTGTGATCGGCCAATTCGATTTTGAAGCTTGTTCTTAACATAGCTCAAAGTTGAAAATGTTCTTTCTGCACTTGTAGTTGCAACAGCTAGTGTCAAAATTAGTTTAGTAAGCATATAAACAAATGGATATGACTGATGTACTTTGTCTTCACCATTACTTGATATAATTTGTCATTTCTCTTCAATCCAACAAATCTCTCATCAGCAATAGCATCATGATAATACATAACAAGATTGTTGTGCGAAAAAACCAATCTGACCTAAGAGAAATAAGGATTGATTATTAGTGAATTATATCCATTGGGATTTTGTTAAAGTGTAGTGCCCAAATATAATGGGCTCAATCCCTGGTACACATATATGAAGTATTTTTTTACTCCAAATATTACCGGATCCCAGGGCACAGCCAATGCCCTCTGCCTCCGCCTATGCATATATCATATATGAGCCACGTAGAATAATCATTTCATCCAAAAATTTACTACTATGATTATACAAAAAGAATTAGGTCATGTAAATTCTTAAGTACTTTTCCCTTTCGATCGAATGGCTATACATGGTCTGATCGACATTTTTCTCTACAATGGTGATCAATTCAAACCACCGCGCAGAAAGCAACAAAAAAACTGCTTCCTTTCCTTATTTTCTTACACTTCCCCACTAAATACAAATTAAACAACCTCGAGCAAAACCTACTTAATTACCCATCCCAGAAGTGTACGGGACAGAAGTAGCCGTGATCCAATCATCCCCTTCAACGTACAACTTACCAGGGGCGAAATTCGCTGCATCTGCGGCCCCAATGTGCTTAACTCCAGGCCAAGTCACCCGACCCGTCTGAACCGACCCAGGACCCGTATTCTCGAACTCCGCGTAGTAAAGCGTCTTGAGCCCCAAGTCACCCTGCCACTCCAACCATCCTTCGGGAGCGATCATGCCGTCGATCACGGTGTGCATGATCACGGTCCTCGAATACTCCTTCCACGGACGCCCCAGGTACGCCTTGAGCTGGTCCTTGACGGGCAAGTAAGCTGGGTCGCCCATGATATGACTGTTCATGATCACGATGGCCGAGTCACCGTTCGGGTCTTGTCGCCCCTCCGCCGTCACAATGCATTGTTGGTTATCCATGGGCTTCCTGACAATCATGGTGCAGTTCTGGAGGACGGTGCGAGCAACCCCGAAAATGAAGTCGATGGTACCAGTGATGACACAGTCACGAAAGAACTGTCGATAGGTTTGCGGGTACAGGGTGTCTTGATATCCATCAAACTGGCAATTGAAGACGACGGAGTTGTCGGACTGGGAGCGGTAGGCCACAGCTTGGTGGCCCACGGCTCCCGCTGAGTTCTCAAACCCCATATTTTTTGCTATAAACCCAGGGGCCAATATCACTGTGTAACCCAATTTTGTTATGAAGGTGATATAAGTTAGTTCATTTCTCCAAGGCGCGCTTCGCCCTGGGGTCCTGCGCGACCTCCTTCAGGGTGCTCGAGTTCTTCATCGCGTCCTTGAGGGACTCGACCGCGATCTCGAACCCTGCCTGGACGAGCGTCTTCGGGTCCGTGGCGTTCTCCGCGGATTTGGAGAGGCTAGACTCGCGCACGTGTCCTTGTAGACGGACGGGGCGCAGAGGGCTTTCACGGCTTTGTTGGTGGTGGAGATTTGGTTGCTTGTCGAAGTGCTTTTGTCGCCTCCTTCTCCGCCGCTGTCTGTGGGGTTGTTGCTTACGCCGATGGCTACGGCGACGACCATGGCGACTAGGAGGATGGAGGAGACGCCCAATATGGCGATCTTCTTCTTCTGGTCACCCTCGTCGCCCATCTTAGTGTTGTGGGGAAAATGTGGAAAATGATTTTATCAAATTTGTTTTTTTCTTCTTTTTATTATTTTTAATTAGTTATTAGGGTTTTATTTGCAGAGCTTGGTTTGGGGGCTTTTTTTCCACTGGAAATTGGGGCCCCTCAGTGGCTCTACCTTTTATTTTTGTTAAGAATGACCGAATGAGTTTTTTTTTTTTTTTGTTATTTTCCTGTTAGGATGGAGATGAGATTTTAGTTATATAGTAGGGGGAAGATGGAAGAGGAAGGAAGAAGGTGAAGGTGAAGGTGAAGGTGAAGGTGAAGATGAAGATGAAGATGAATTTTATCTTCACCTTTACCAATAAATGAGTAGTTTATTGACCTTCCGTGTTAGAATTGGTGCTTATGGTGTTGGAAGGTAGGAATGTGATGATTGCAGCTATTTGGTTTCTGATTATGGTTAGTTGTAGTTGAACCCATAGAATTATTTTGCCTAATTAAGGATTTATAGGGCTTTGTGTTTGAGTACTCGAATTACTTGGATGTGTGTCATTACTATTTTCCTCAGTCTCTATTGACTTCATGTGGCATAATTAATGTGTTTGGGCAGTGCTCTATTGCTTTATGTTTGTTGGGAAAATGTGCAATTCAATTACTACATGTTCATTGTTCAGTATAATCTAACTTGCAGCAAACTACCAGCCGATTCAAGACAATGAATCATTCAGCATGCCTTATCAAACACAATTTGTCTTCAAAACTTGGAACACGATATCTCTCAACACAATGTGATGACAGTTTATATTTGATGGAGACCAAACGTGCAAACACTGATTAAATCTTGATGTTCCACCTGTCCCGACGCAGAGCGCGGACAAAGAATACTAGTAATCATCTAAACGGATAAACCTAAACGACAGTTGACGGTTCTGATTTCGGTCATTGTTTGCCGGGCACGGGCAGACGGATAGCTTCAAAATATTTAAAGCAGGCCAGGCCCAAATGACAGAGCAACTGGGCCCTTTTGAAAATTTTAAATAGACAAGGCCTACATAATTGAATGTGAATCCTGGGAAAAGTAGATGAATTAAGTAGCCCAATTACTATGGATTCCACGACCCTTAATAGTTAATAACTTGGTGATAGTGGGGTCTACTAAATTTGGTCGTTCACCTACTTTAGTTTATATCGCTTTGCGAAGGCCTGCCAATAGGATCCCATTGTGTCTTCGGGAACACCCACCTGATGGCTTGGATGATCAAACCTGAAAGCTACCCCTCCCAAATCATACCTTTTCTCCGCACTCACACCAGTGGGGCTATGTGACCTTTGGCCGTCTCTCTTGCCTTCAATCTCAAACCAAAGGGTATATCCTCATAAAAAAAGGGGTATATCCCAAACTAAGCAAGTTACAAGTAAAAGTAGGGTATTGGTAATTTGGTACGTATCATATACCCTCATCACTCAACAAATCTTGTGTTTGAATTTTGAAAATTTCTAGTACTACTAGTTAGATTTATGCACTAATGATTATGTGTAAATTTCACAAGTAGGAATTGATTTTTGTTTGGATAAAATGTGTGTTCACATGACTCATGTTATTGAATCATGTTTTGTATAATTTAAATTAACATTTGTTAAGTATACTATTATTTGCCGACTTCCAATAAGCCAAACGGCTAAAATAAGATGTGATGACGAACAAACGACGTCGCGATAGCTCATGCTGAGATGAGTAGATAGAGAATCTTTGTGAAAAAAGTAAGGATGAAGTTGAGAGTCCGTGAACACAACTAATGTAACCACGAAGTGAGGCTTGGCATTTTCTAGTAATGACTTTCTTTTCACTAGCTGGATAGACAATCAAAAAAATTTGTGACTACGTGATTGACTGGAACTTAACAAAACTATTATAGCTAGGGGATTAGATACTATGACAACACTCCTTGTGTTGTTATTGTAACAACACTAGCCTCTAACCAATAGCAAGCTAGGGTTGTGATGACTTTTTATTAGATGAGTTGACTTAGTGTAAAATCAAAGCAGGGGTATAATTGTCATTATGAAAATATGTTTAAATAATAATAAAAATTAAAAAAAATTAAAAAATTAAAAATATTTTTTTATTTTCTGCCAAAAAAATTGGTCGCCGGAATTCGGCCACCGATCACCGGAATATGCTTTTCGTTGCCGGAATATGCTATTTTCTCATCGGAATATGCCACTGGCGCCGGAATATGCTTACCGGCGACGGAAACTAGTCATCGGGGCCGGAATATGCCTATCGGCGTCGGAATCTGCTCACTGACGGTCATCGGAGTTCGGTCAACAACCATCGGTTGTTATGGTCTGCATTGTGAGATTTATGGTTTGGTTTCTCATATTTTTGTATGCCTTTTGTGGTTTGCTTTATCGCGTTTGTGGTTTGCATTGAGAAGTTTCTGGTTTGCTTTATCGTGTTTGTGGTTTGCATTGAGAAGTTTCTGGTTTGCTTTCAAAAACTTTGCGGTTTGCATTGAGGGGTTTGTGGTTTGTTTTAGGAGATTTGTGGTATGCATTAGGAGGTTTCTGGTTTGCTTTTTTGTGGTTTGATTTACTGTGTTTGTGGTTTGCATTAGGAGGTTTCTGGTGTGCTTTCGCAAATGTTGTGGTTTGCTTTGTGAGGTTTGTGGTTTGTTTTAGGAGATTTGTGGTATGCATTAGGAGGTTTCTGGTTTGCATTAAGAAGTTTCTGGTGTGCTTTCGAAACTTTTGTGGTTTGGTTTGCGAGGTTTCTGGTTTGTTTTAATATATTTGTGGTCTGCATTAGAACGTGTTTGGTTTGCTTTACCGTGTTTGTCGTTTGTATTAGAGGGTTTCTGATGTGCTTTAGAAATATTTATGGTTTGTTTTACCGTGATACTAGCAATTATTGGTTTTTTAGATGAGCCATACTAGCAATTTATAAGCGAAAATCGTAGGGATTACTATATCTAAAGTAGATGTGCATTGTCAAACAAAATCATTTCAATCCCTTTAGCGCTTAAAACCCCTAAAATTGAATACCAGAGGGTCAAGTCAACTAATTTCTGAAACCCATTTACAGAAGCATGATAGCAACCGAGATACAAACAGCAACAATATTCTCTAAGCTACGGAATCATGCGAATTGAGACACAGCCAGTTCTGAAGCTCCGTGATGACGTGTCGGCTGTCGGCTGCGGCGGCGGCGGCGGCCGAATCGTTGTTGGATCGGGACGTGAGGAGGCTGCTGCTGTTGGCTAAAAAGGATAGGGATTCTTGAAGCTCAGCAACAGCGTCTGATAATATATCCCTGCAATCTTCCAGCGCCATTCGTAAGCTGATTGTGGTGTTCTTCTCGCGGCGGCGATCGAAGTTGATTTTCTCGGTCAGAGCGTAGGAGAGATTGAAGGATCTCTCTGTGGCTTCGATGGTGGCGGTGATCGCCGCCTTGATGAAATCCTTGGGGTCGTTCGTATCGTTTACCGGCCGGAGGGTTTCATTGCACGCTTGCTTGTAGTTGGTGGAGGCACAAATTCGCACCACTAATTACAGAAAAATCCTGCCAAGCATCGCCCAAATGTTGACAATGTTTATTCTTTGGATGTTGAGGAGAGGAGGAGGTGTTCAGCGTAGGTAGCAATTAGGTTTAGGGAGTCAATGAGAGAGGAAGAGGATACGATGGTCGAGTTGGGGAGTCGGAGAGAGGGATTGTACACTGGGAGTGTAAGGAAGTGGTTAAGCACCATACACGGGCCTGTATAAGATCCAGCATAACCTTCTCCCAACAACTCGAGTTATTGGGACCAACTGGTTTATGACATGGTATCAGAGCTGGTTGTCCGTGAGGTCACGTGTTCAAGTCCTCACGACCCCCAATATTAACCGTTGTCTTTCAAGCACATGGTATAGCGGGCCTGTGCAAACTTCAAGCCCATGAGTCGGCTTTCGTTTGAGGGGGCGTGTAAGGAAGTGGTTAAGCACCATACAAGGGCCTGTATAAGATCCAGCATAACCTTCTCCCAACAACTCGAGTTATTGGGACCAACTGGTTTATGACAGGGAGAGCTATTCCCACACAGCCAGCACCGCCGCGAGGGAACTTCGTGGAATGCGGTGAGGAGTCGTTCTTCGGCTACGCTCCGGGGACGGTGAAGGGAGTGGCTCCGATGAGCGGGGCGGCGGAGAAGGGTCGCGAACTCGCAATGGTGAGAGATGAGACCTAACAGCGGGAGAATTTTAATTCACTTTATTTTATTATTTTCTATCTAATTTACCCTTTTACTCTTAGGGTGCGTTTGGATAGCTGAATTTGAAATATATGTATTTGAATTATATGTATTTGAAATGCAAGTATTTGAAATGTATGAATTTGAAATACTTATGATTTAAAATTCATTGTTTGGATAGATGTGTATTTCAAATACTTATGATTCCAGTCAAGTCTACAGCTGTAACTGTGAAACCACTCTCTTCCAGAAGAGCTATGGTTTTGTACCAACACCAAGCACCAAAACCCCCTCCATGTACAAGGACAAAATGTTTTGTCTCAAGATCATCAAGCTTAATATCCTGTTCAAAAAATTTCAACATTTCAGCAGGTGCGCGAAGTATGAAAATTGAAAGATGCTGACATACTCTATAGCACTAAACACCAGCTGCCCATGAAACTTTAATGAGCCACAAAAATTAGTTTCCGCGGGGACAAAATAAAATAAAGTCATGGTGATCAGGTATTGAGCTGTAAACTGAGTTTCTTGGTTGTCAATCATTCATCTACCAAAAAGGTGGGTCTTCAAAGTTTCAGACTCTACAAAGCAAAGGAAACTAAGGCTCACCAAGAAAACACTCAACAAAGATTCTTCTATCTTCCTTTGGAATTTCCAGCAGCAACTTGAACTGCTCAGGATCACCAGATCGATGTGTATTTCAAATACTTATGATTCCAGTCAAGTCTACAGCTGTAACTGTGAAACCACTCTCTTCCAGAAGAGCTATGGTTTTGTACCAACACCAAGCACCAAAACCCCCTCCATGTACAAGGACAAAATGTTTTGTCTCAAGATCATCAAGCTTAATATCCTGTTCAAAAAATTTCAACATTTCAGCAGGTGCGCGAAGTATGAAAATTGAAAGATGCTGACATACTCTATAGCACTAAACACCAGCTGCCCATGAAACTTTAATGAGCCACAAAAATTAGTTTCCGCGGGGACAAAATAAAATAAAGTCATGGTGATCAGGTATTGAGCTGTAAACTGAGTTTCTTGGTTGTCAATCATTCATCTACCAAAAAGGTGGGTCTTCAAAGTTTCAGACTCTACAAAGCAAAGGAAACTAAGGCTCACCAAGAAAACACTCAACAAAGATTCTTCTATCTTCCTTTGGAATTTCCAGCAGCAACTTGAACTGCTCAGGATCACCAGATCGGTACTTCATCACGGCTTTGGCAACCTCCAAGTGCGTCAACCCCGGTATCTCGCATATCACATCGTAGATCTCTTTCCCTGTATACCTTGGTTCTTCTTCCTTCTTCTTACTTTGCAAGTAGCTACTTAATGAGTTAGCTACCATATACATGCATCCCCAACTTGACTGTCCTTCTTAGCTCTCTTTCGCGATTCTGAACTGACTTCGCCATTAGACTTCTTCCCTTGAGATTTTGAGCCATGTGCACTTGAGTTGCCAAAAGTAGACGCTGATCCAACGTCCTCCATGTCATCTTCATCAGCCATGGATGCATTAGCCTCTGAATAATGCTCTGCCCCATCTCCCACAGCTCTATCTTTGGCACACAACAAGACTAGATCATCCCAATTCTCGATATATGTGTTCGCATAAGAACGTGCATCAGGGTGATCCTACAAAAACCTATATGTCAGAGGGAGGAGACAAAAGGAATCAAGTTTCACTGGGAGTAACAAACAAGTAGGCTAGCTCTACAATACTTGTCAAACAAAATCCAAGCAACAACACATTCATCGCCCACTGAGCAACCTTTAAACACATTCATCGCCCACTGAAGCTCTATCTGGCATGGATCTCTAGGGAAACAGTCATGCATATGAAAGCAGAACATTCTGCAAACAAGTGGTCCTTTGTCTCCAGAACACAATCACAATACACACATCCAACTGAGCCTGTATCCTTGAACCTTATCCCCAGTAATTATGTAATCACTGATAAATCAGATGATTATTGTAGGATGATTATTGTAGAGCAGTAACCTATTTTGTTTAACCGACTAGACTAGGTACCAGTTCTGGCCCCCAGATATAGATCTTGCAATTTCATTTAAATCAGAACAACCATAATCGCAAAGAAAGTGCAATCCATAATCAGAACCTAGCTAGCTAGCAAGTTGAAGTAGGTAAGGTAGAAAGAGATGATGAGAGGTTCTAGAGGAACATGCATAAGAGGAAAAGAACCTTACATTGCAATAAGATTGCCAATCACTCATATTATCAGCTGTTACTACGATCATCTTCTTATCTTCATCCCAAAAGCTTAATCCGCTTCGCTTTTGAATATCAGCTATCACTGCATAGCGTTTCTTCCATGCCCGAAGTCGGTTCTTGACATTATCTCTAGTCACATTGATTGCCAAGTCAGTGCGAAGTTGATCCACAACTGCTTGGTATGCTTGCGTCTTCCAATCTCCATCGCCCTTATTCCCTTGAACTATTTGATCCAGTAACACTCGACTTAATATCTTGTCCATCTGTGAATCCCATTGGCGATAAACACGAGATTTACCGGGTAAAATACTTCCTTGTGGCTTCATTCCTACAACAATAAGAACAAACATGCAGATCACTTCAGCAACCAGCAATAAATCAATGCAATAAATCACGGAAAAATAAATCACAACAAATACCCTGACTATGAATCTAGTACTGACAACAACCAGCAAGAGTTTCAATCACTTTATACCTGATCAGTGTGCAACAAACCTCATAAACATTGAGTTGATCAGTGTACAAGCAAGCATACACCAGCAGTATAGATATATAAACAACAAATGCCATACACCAGCAGAATTTGCAGCACTGCACTTGATTAAGGCAGCAGGGGACCAAACCATACAGAATCAATTGTGAAGGTTCTTAAAAGAACCAGGAAACAAGGATCTAACACAAGGAAATCCAGCCAAAGCTGCAGCACATAAGAATAAATAAGTACGAGCAATGTTGATTCCAATTACAAGGGCATATCTAACAGAAAATACAGAACTAACTCCGAGCTCTCCGAGCGAGAACTGCTTTATATTGTTCAAACATTTCCTTAGCTAAATTATCTCTAAATAAAGTCCACTCATTGGTTGCCCTCACTGCCGTGATTTCATCTTCATCAGCGTCATATGAATCGCTATCTAAAGCATCTTCCAACTCTTGATCTACTTCATCCAATAGTGCATCATGAGGACACTCATCACGAATGAAGTTGTGAAGGATACAACAAGCATTGATAATCCTAACTTGAGTCTTCAAGTCATAAAAGCCAGCTGCACGCAAAATGCCCCATCTTTTCTTCAACAATCCAAATGCCCTTTCAACGTAACTTCTAGCTAAGGAATGCCTAAGGTTAAATAACTCCTTATAGTTCTTAGGAGTATTCCCTCGCCAAAGTTGTAAATGATATCGAGTCACCCTATAAGGAGCTAAGAAACCAGGCCCGTTGGCATATCCCCCATCCACAAGATAGTACTTATCTACAAATTTAATAAGAAAGAAAAGCAGAATCATTAAGTAATCTTTAATAGATAATACCCAAAGAACATTAGATAGAGTTCACAGAAGCCTACTTTTAGGAACTTTAAGACCATTTTCCCGTGATAGAGCATCATTCAACACTAGAGAATCTGAAGCTGATCCCTCCCAACCGGGCAGAACATAAGTGAACCTCAGATTAGCATCACAAACAGCCAAAACATTTGTACTAATCTTGCCTTTTCTACTTCGATATCTAGACTCGTCTTCGGCAGGTACAGTTAAAGGAAGAAAGATCCCGTCAAGAGCTCCAACTGCACCCTACAATATATCTTACTTTGAGTTTTTTAGAGTAAGAAGTAAGAACCAAAGTTGATTAGACATAAGTGAACTACCTGAAACCATTTCCATTTTTCAGCATCTCCAGAGCTAAGAACTTGTGTGCTTTCTTTGATATAATCACTGCCGATATGTAAAACTGCTCGTAGCACCTTGTGAAAATGTCTACTAATAGTTTCCCCCGAACGGAGGAAAGTAGCTTTAATTGTTCTATTTCGCATGCAATGCGCTAAGGTTTGCAAAAAGAACACAACCATTTCTGAAATAGACACATGCCTTGAAGCAACTAAACCACCCTTATTTTGCAAGATGCGACACAGTTTCTCAAAAGCTTGTGGTTTGATGCGTAATTGCTCAACACATATTGGTTGAGAAAGTATAGTATCTAAATGATCTCTTCTACGAAAAAATCTACGCTCAAAATGTTTAGCATATGACTGATTTTTTGCAGGCATAAAGAGGGAACCAATAAAAATGGCTAGAAATACAATTACCAACACAATCAACTCCTCTTCTTCCTCTTCCTCATCTCTCTTACGCTTATACCTAACTATCTCTCTCCTAGTTTCATCCATACTTTGTAAGATATGATATATCCAGATGAGATTGGTTTTAATTCTGCAAATCCACACATAAAAACTGCATAAGGGTTCAGTTTTAGGTGCAATTATCATTTACTGTATAAAGGAAAAAGAAAACAGGTCACACTAGCTATGGAACTCCTGCAACTCACTTCTCAAAATGATCATATATATAGAGTATAGACTGATGGACATACAATCTAGCAAGAAGTAAAGGTGGGATATGTCCTGCACACTACTCTTAGTTGACCAACTCTTACCATAATAATAATATAGATAAGCTTCAGGCTAGCCTTATTTGCCTTCATCTGGTATTGATATTCTTTGTTCACTTTCTCTTAGTCATCTATGTTCACTTTCTGTTGGAATCAAGAAGTTTAAGTTCTTGTCTCTTATGCTTTACAAGAGCTATGCATTGATAAAATTCAGAACTGACCGATGGACTTCAGAACAACCAGTATAAGAACACACTAAAACAGACTCGTATCTCATACAACCTACTAAAACAGACTCGTATCTCATAGACCGAATACTATAACTATGTGATTTGATACATCTTGGTATGGTTAATATCTACAGCCACACTAACATTAATAAAACAGAATCAAACAATTTCAATTATGCATAGAGTATATGTTCTTCCAAAACGTGAGAATATCATGGTTATGGAATCATCACCAGCTCGTCTGGGAAACCTTTCTACAGAACACCCACTGGAGATAATCATCTCCCGAAAACACATATCCACAACCCAAACGCCCAAAACCCATAAACCCATTCAAAGTTAGAACAAATAGTATGAGCAAGGAGCAAAATCGGCTATAACAGACGAACAAACTTCTAACTCGCAAATTGAAACCCAAGGTGAGAACACAGGTGGGTTGGGATGGTGGAAACTTAGTTTGTAGAAGCAAAATCAAATGAACCTAAAGTAGCAAACAAATTGAAACATTCAGCAAGCTTTTTACCTTGAGTAGCAAACAAATCGCAGCAGCCAGGCAAGCTATGGTCGCCGATGGAGGGCAGTGACCTGCTGGATAAGAAACGAAGTTGATGGTCAGATCTGCGCATTAAGGGTTTGGGTATTGGAAGTTTAGTATTAAGAAGCTGTATCAAACGGTAGCAAATAAATCCAAAGTACGAAATCTCACTTACCTCCAAGATTCGAAGAACACCAAGAAGGGAAACGAGCAAATCGTAGTCGGTGGAGGGCAGGCGAGCTGCTGGTTGCGGATGGAGGGCGGTGGGCAGTGGCGGTGGATAAGGAGAAGGAGATTAATCGGTGACCATGGTTGCGGATGGAGGGCGGTGGGCAGTGGCTGTGCCAACACGATGGATGGTGGATGAGAAACGAGAAGATGAAGCGAGATGGCGGCGAAGGGAACGATTGCCTCTGGATACAGCGAGGCTTCAGTCGTCGGATTGTATTTTAGAATCAGTACCGTCCAGCGCGTATTTGAAATATTCTTATTTCTGAAGGCCGAAATACAGGATGGATTTGGGCCAAATTCAAATACTAAATTCATGGGCCTGCCAAACGCTAAAATTTGGAATTTGAAAATTCAAATACAAAATCCAAATACAAATCCAGCTATCCAAACCTACCCTTAATGAATTTTGTTGTTATAATAACAACACTCTTAGTGTTGTTATTCTATCCGAGCCCTATAGGTAGCTATCAGTCAAGTAAATCTTAATCAAAACGGTGATTTAAAAGATAACGCGGCTTAATGACTTCATTAAGAAAAAAACACTCATAGTTAGAATTTCTGATTCCGACATGTGTAAAAGATATGTATCCTCCATCTTTACTAGGGATGGCAATTTCGACCTGACCCGTTAAACCTGACCTGTTTGACCTGTTTTGGGGCGGGTCCGACCCGCCCCGTAGGCGGGGCGGGGCGGGCATGGGTAGTCTCATCGACCCGACCTGCCTTGACCCGCCCCATTCTCGACCCGTTCTTGTCTAAATTACATGTAATCTTAGTCAAATTACTTAGAATTTTCCTTTTATTGCATCATATTTTAGCTATAATAAAGTTGTAAATTAGTAAAAACCTCAATTTCTCCAATAATTTAACTACAATTGTCATAATATTGTTTGTTTTCTTAGTCTTATAATAAAAATAACGAAAATTTCTAATGTTTTCATATAAATTGAATACCCATTGGGTCGACCTGCCCCGACCCGCGACCCGTGATCAATTACCCGACCTGGACCCGACCTGCCACGGGGCGGGTCTGGGTACCAAGAAACCCGCCCCGGACCTGCCCATTGCCATTCCTAATCTTTACGGCTCTGCATTCAAACTTCAAGCAGGGAAGATATTATTAACCCTAACAAAAAACAGATTCCAACCCACAAAGCCCTTCTAGCTCTATAGCTTGGTGTCCCGTAGAGATAACCAAAGAATATGGTTCCCAAACCGCCCTTAAAATAGAGGCTACACAATCTTGTAGCATTAGCATCCCTTTGTGGTGTAAAATAGAGGCAAAGAAGTGATAGATGGAAGGGTATCTGGTTCTTTTCCAAGATTCTTGAAATTTTGCAAAGAAATGGAAGATCTTTTCGGCAGGGGTACAATAATTTGTAGAAAGATTCCTAGGATAAGAGTGTGGTATAAGATCCAACATAACTTTTTTCTTAAAAAATCAAGTTATTGGGACCAACTGGTTTATGACATGGTATCAGAGCTAGTTTAACCAAGTGGTCGTGTCGTGTGTTCCAATCTCCATGACGACTTTCAATATTAACAGTTGATTAAGGCACAAGGTATGGTGAGCCTGTGCAAACTTCAAGCCCGTGTGTTGGCTTTCGTTTGAAGGGTCGTGTTAGAGTGTGATATAAGATTCAGTATAATTAACTTTCTTCTAACAACTCGAGTTATTGAGACTAACTGTTTATGACATTGAGAAGTTGGGAATATTGGACATTGCCAAGGTGGGAGATGTGTATATCATGTGACTGATTCCCCCCCCCCCCCCCAAGTAATGAGTTATATGGCCAGGAATATGCCAATTGGCCAAAGTCTAATACTTTGAATTAGACTAATCGAGACAAAGAACTAGAATAAAGGCTCGTCTATAGTACCTATAGCTGATATACATGGACATTAATAGCATGGTTGAAAAATGCAAGTTTAATCTTACGCTTA